AACTATTTACAATCTTCTATTCGATAAGGCTTCACCTAATTATTTACAAGTCTTCTATTCGATAAGGCTTCACCTAATTATTTACAAATCTTCTATTCGACAAGGCTTCACCTAAATATTTACAAAACTTCTATTCGACAAGGCTTCACCTAATTATTTACAAATCTTCTATTCGATAAGGCTTCACCTAATTATTTACAAATCTTCTATTCGATAAGGCTTCACCTAATTATTTACAAATATTCTCTTCGATAAGGCTTCACCTAACTATTTACAAATATTTTATTCGACAAGGCTTCACCTAATTATTTACAAATATTCTATTCGACAAGGCTTCACCTAATTATTTACAAATCTTCTATTCGATAAGGCTTCACCTAATTATTTACAAATATTCTATTCGACAAGGCTTCACCTAATTATTTACAAATATTCTATTCGATAAGGCTTCACCTAATTATTTACAAATCTTCTATTCGATAAGGCTTCACCTAATTATTTACAAATCTTCTATTCGATAAGGCTTCACCTAATTATTTACAATCTTCTATTCGATATGACTTCACCTAACTATTTACAATCTTCTATTCGATAAGGCTTCACCTAACTATTTACAATCTTCTATTCGATAAGGCTTCACCTAACTATTTACAAATCTTCTATTCGATAAGGCTTCACCTAATTATTTACAAATATTCTACTTTTTAGTGTTATATTCTTAAAAAAGCGGGAAAAAAATGAGGCTGCTTGTCACTCTGTCTGTTGTTAAGCGCCAGAGGTCTTGCTAGGTGCTTAAAAGATTCGGGGCTCGGGCTCATAGGCGCGGGAAGTTTTCAAGGCTCCAACTGGTGATTCGGGTCCCGTGTGCCAGTGCCGTCTCTGTAAGCGCAAAGCTATACTATACACGAAAATATCCCAGACTTACCGCTGAGCCACTGGATGGGGGACCTCCTTTACATTTTTGTTTTATTTTGCGAAAACGCGTAAGATCTCGTATATTTCAACTGCTCGTTTTTCGACTCAGTAAATTTTTATACAATATACTGTTCGTGCGCTTACTTGTCGAGGATGTATAAGTAATTTCCCATTTCTTTCACAAACAAACAACTACTACAATTTTATTTTGTGGTTAATTTTCCTCATAATACTTATTAAATATGCATATAGATAATTTAAAGTTTATCTGTTAACTTAAATGACAATGAATTAAGTACATAGTTTATTAATAGACGTTAACATTTTATATGACTTCATTCACTTTTATAAAAATTATAAAAGCATTCATGTGTTTTTGTAACGATCTGAAATAACAGCACTGTGGTAGTAATAATTTCAATATTGGTACATTATGGTTATAGAGGGCGCTAAGAGCTACTGCTTCCAGTTTCTACGGTCTGTTTACTATTTTTGTGTCTCACAAGGTCAATGCATCAGATGTGTTCTACTTATAAAAACAAACACGCACACACAAAACATTTGACCTAGTTAATGAAAATATGGTTTTAAAATACACGTTCAAATATAAATAGAAACGTACTGAAAAACTTTGTTAGCAAAAATAATGAATTTGAAAATAAAACTACATTGTTTATAAACTGAATATACTGCTCTGATTTTTCGCGTCAAAACATTGGTCGGGTAAACAGTGCGCAGTCACGCAAGGTTGCACCCAGTTCGTCAACACTACCTATAACTCGTACTGTAGCTGACCACGTGAGCTTTCCCAATGAAATACTGCAAGAAATGTTCGCAATGCATTGTGGGTGGCGTGCTCTGTTGCCGTGCTCATTGATTGTAATGAGATGGATCTCTTCTCGTTTGTGGTGGTAGCCATATTGGAGTGAGTGTGAAGATAGTTGCTCATGTCTACGATACAAAAACCATCGGATAATGACGCTTGGGCGCTTTTGGCCCTAAAACCGGCTCCTGCTAGCCCTTCTAAGGTTCAATGGAGCCCAGAATCGAAAGGAACCGCCATAGCACGTCTTGAAGGAAGAGAATTTGAATACATGATTCGGCAAAATCGCATTACTATAGGAAGAAATAGCAGTCGAGGCGAGGTAGACGTGAATATGGGACATTCAAGTTTTATATCTAGAAGGCATTTAGAAGTTTATTTTGAGAGTCCACACTTCTTTATGAACTGTAATGGAAAGAATGGAGTATTTGTTGATGGAGTTTTTCAAAGGAAAGGTGCACCACCGTTACAGTTGCCAAAAACGTAAGTAATACACAGGCTAGTTCGAGGTATACAGGCCTATTTTTAGTTTGTTATGTTGCGTGCTCTGTGTTTACATTTAACTAGGCTACCCATTCCACAGACATTCATTTTTGTAGACCTGTAACGCACTAACGACTAACGGGGCTACACTGAGAAAGACGTTAAGAGTTGTCTGATATTGGTAGAATTTAGAAAAGTCAAAGTGTATCATTAAACAAATTAGTTATTAGTGTAATAGCATATAGATTTTTAAATAATTTTGCTAATGTTTGATACGAGCTTAGTATTTTACGTACGTTAGTATAGTAATTATTATTATTAGTGTATTTTATACTGCAACTTAGGTTTCAGCTAAATTTTAGCTTTGCTTGAAGCTAAGTACACGAATGTAAAGTGTTATAATAATTTAATATTAATAAGGTTAAACCAATTCATATTCGTGTTAAATTAAATAAAGGTTAGATCTACTGAATATTTAAGTAGATTCTAATGTGAATTAAAATTAGTTGTATACCTAATGGTCAAAGTTGGACATATTTCAGAAATATGGAACAAATTTTTGTTTGTATAAAAGGCACAAACAAACCAATTTATACAGTGTTCAGATACATTTTTGTAGTGAGTTTTAATAAAGTTTTGGCCCAACTTGCAGAAAGATAGTTAGACATGAGAAAACATGCTATCCAACTCTATTAGATGTAAGTTTCTTCTTCACAATATGAAGTTTGATTGAAAGTTTTCAAACTGGAAAAAAAATGTGAAAGTTCTTGAATATTGTTTGGATTTGTGAATCTTAAAGACTCACGTTTGAAAGTGTTTTTTATGCCATACATGTAATATTGGAAGTGTTTTCTTTGTAAAATGAAAGAAAAAATATGAAATTTGCACGTAATAAATGTATAAGATAATTTTCTGGTTTCTATTTTTACTTTTACTGCTAGCTGTGATTGAGAGTTTTTTGTAGTTGAGTAGCCTGTTGGTATTTCAGTATAGTTTAGGTAATATTTTGTTTGACAATACCTTGGTAACTAGTTTATTGATATTTTTAACCAAATTTAGTTAAGCTATTGGAGATAGGAAAACAGTCTGCTTGCTTTTCAATGAGTTTTTTTTATTACTTTGTTGTTACATTTTGGAAATATGTCATAATTTCACAAAATAATATAGATTGTAGTCATTCCTAATGTATAAAAAATAATTTATCACCATTTATGAAAACTGATAATTCATACTCTTAAAATATAATTAGCCTTTTGATATTACTGTACATGTATAAGTACAATACACACCCATATAGTTGCGTGATTTACTGCAGATAAATATACTAAATCAGTAAACCAGCAAAATAAATTTATCACACTAGTTTTATCCTCATTGTATCATATTTTTAAATTTGGTAGGACATGCATGGTTTAATATTGTATTAGGGATAGTCTCTGTATGTTACACACAAAAAAACTTCAAACTCTTCTGCATTTTTAGTATTCCTATTCGCTTTACAGATTCAGTTTATAATTTTTTCTATTGATATATTCCCATTTAAGTTAAATTGGTATTTTTGTTTTTCAGATTTTTTACTTTTATCACCAAACTACTATTTTTGAAAAGTCGCTGGATACATTAACTCTTGTGTTTTGTAATATGGCATTATTATTATATTTTACAGTTAACTCTCATGTTTTGTAATATGGCATTATTATTATATTTTACAATTAACTCTCATGTTTTGTAATATGGCATTATTATTATATTTT